CGGGCCGCCTCGGGGCGGCTGGGCCGAGGGCGAGACCTCCGGGGTTCAGAGGCAGCGTTTTCCGGACTCGTCCTTCCTCGCCTTGACTCAGCTTTTATTGATTTCGCAGATCCACCTCCGACTCTGAAGGCAGAGACTCAGGTGAGCCGTCCCGTGCCTTGGCCGAGTCCGCGGCCTGACAATTGGGGGGCCGGGTGGTTGGGAATGCCTCTTTTAACGTCCGTGCCTGGCTTCCACCTGACCCGCGTTTCCTTCCTTTCCTTTTAGCCACCGGAGAAGCGGCGGAGAACAATTGAGGATTTCAACAAATTCTGCAGTTTTGTCTTGGCCTATGCGGGTTACATTCCTCCCAGCAAAGAGGTAGGAAACAGAAACATAGCTGACTTGAATCAGGGTGAATTACTTCATAGGAAGATCCTACTATAATATGTAAGATTTGGAAGCTTTTAGGGCTGTGGTGGGAAAGCTGGTGTGGACACAGATTGGGAGTGTTGGTCGGGCCTTTTTTTTAGGGGTCTTGAGTTGCCGTTGGTGGAAAGTTTTCAGGTGAACTGTAAAGAGATAAGGATGCTAACAGACGAGATACAGGAACTGTTAAAGGAGCAGGCAGGAGGGCTGGGTAAGGGCAGGGTGAGGACATGGCAGATCTGGGTAGGGACGTGTCTAGTTCCTGGTTTTTATGCTGGACATGTGTCAGGGCTGAGCTGTCCCTAGATTCCTGCTGATCCTAGTCTCTTCCTCCTTTTAAGGAAAGCGACTGGCCAGCTTCTGGCTCTAGCTCTCCATTGCGAGGGGAGAGTGCAGCAGACAGTGATGGCTGGGACTCAGCCCCCTCGGACCTTCGAACTATCCAGACTTTTGTTAAGAAAGCAAAGTCATCAAAGAGAAGGGCAGCTCAAGCAGGTCCTACCCAGCCAGGACCCCCAAGGTCCACTTTTTCTCGTCTGCAGGCCCCTGACAGTGCCACCCTGCTGGAGAAGATGAAGCTGAAGGACTCTCTGTTTGATCTGGATGGGCCCAAAGTGGCCTCTCCACTGTCTCCCACGGCCCTGACGCCCACCTCCCGCTCCCCGGCTGCTCTCACCTCAGTACCGCTTTCCCAGGGGCACCTTTCTCAGCCTCGAAAGAAGGACCGAAAGAACAGAAAGTTGGGACCAGGAGGCGGGGCCGGCTTTGGGGTGCTTCGGAGGCCTCGGCCGGCTCCTGGGGATGGGGAAAAACGGTCTCGGATCAAGAAGAGCAAGAAGCGGAAGTTGAAAAAGGCAGATCGTGGGGATAGACTCCCCCCTCCTGGCCCTCCTAGGGCACCTCCCAGTGATACAGACTCTGAAGAGGAGGAGGAAGAGGAGGAGGAGGAGGAGGATGAAGAGGAGATGACAGCAGTGGTGGGGGGTGAAGTCCCTGTGCTCCCAACACCCCCTGAAGCCCCCAGGCCCCCCGTTTCCGTGCACCCCGACGGTGCACCCCCTACTGACAGTGAGGGCAAGGAGGTGGGCAGCACAGAGACAAGCCAAGATGGGGACGCCAGCTCCAGTGAAGGCGAGATGCGGGTCATGGACGAGGACATCATGGTGGAATCAGGTGAGCGGCTCAGGGCTGCCCAGGGTGGGGAGAGCCGGGAGGGTGGGTTTGGGGGTTCTCAGGAGGCAAGCTTTAGAGTTGAAGACTAAACAGACTTTGTTTTTCCAGGTGATGACTCATGGGATCTGATCACATGTTACTGTAGAAAGCCCTTTGCCGGGCGGCCCATGATTGAGTGCAGCCTGTGTGGGACGTGGATCCACCTCTCCTGTGCTAAGATTAAGAAGACCAATGTTCCTGACTTCTTTTATTGCCAGAAATGCAAGGAACTTCGGCCAGAGGCCCGGCGGTTAGGGGGTCTTCCCAAATCGGGAGAACCCTGACGTCACTCGTAGAGGCTGGAACTTCTGACGTTACTTGGGAACTGAGACTCAGAGTCTTCAGCCTCTTCCAGGCCGGATTTCCCAAGGGAGACTTGTTTGGAAATGAGCGTCTTCTCCTCTGTCCTTCCTGCTCCGTGGACTTGAATTGGACCCCTTACAGCTGGGTCAGGGAGGCTGGATCTATAGACAAATCTCTGTCCGGTGGACCTGCCCCCCTTCACGTTCAGGGCCAGGGCTCAAACTGGGATGTAATGGGATAGTTGTCTATAAAATGTAGTGTAAATACAGCACTCCCTCATGTTTCCTTCTCTGTCACTCCCGTTTACTTTCTTCTACACCAGTTGTATTTTTAATTTTGAACTCCCATGTTTGAGCCTGGCGCTTGCTCAAAGGCGGAGGGAGTACCATACCTGGTGGAGTGGGGGAGGAGAGCAAAAGGTGTCAGTCGTCACTAGCCTTGTTTTTAATAATAACTGGCTGGCCGCCTGCACAGCCAGCCAGTGTTGTAAATAAAGCAGAGTGGGCTCTTGTGTTTTACAACCCTCCTTGTCCTGATTGGGGAGGGGGTCTGTGGGAAACGAGGCAGATGGCTTGCTGGAGTTGAATTGGGGCTGTAATCCCAGAACTTGGGAGATGGCGACAGAAAATGGAGGGGCTAGGACTAGATGGGACCCTGTCTGAAGCCTCCCTCTCCATCACCCTCGCCCAAAGTCAAATCATGAAAGGACTACCTCCCAGCTTTCTCAAACCAGAAGCCACCTTCCGGACCTAAGTTGGTTTGCAATTCCTGTTTTAACAATGCCCCCCTCGCCCCCCATAGTTGCACCTGAGGTGCGTGGAGCTCTGGGCTTGGGGTTAAAGCGCAGCGGAGCCGCTTGCTAGCATTCTGAGCCCAAGCCGGCTTGGCCGTAGGACTTCGTGTGGGGCGGGGTCCACGCTCGGGGGCGGGGTCACTCAGGACTGAAGACCGTTGCTCAAGGCAGCGGTCACGTGGGTGTCTGGGAGGAGCTCGGGGTCACGTGACACAAAGAGGTCACGTGAGGGGCCGTCTGCTGCGCAAAGTGGGCGGGCTTGTGTCACGTGGCATGGGGAGAGGTGGGCGGGGCCCTTGGTAGTGTTCGAGACGTTGGTGGTGGAGGTGGCCCTCGGCTGCGGGGTCCAGGGCTGTGGGTCCAGCTCGACGGCCCTAAGCTCTCACCCGGCTGCTCCACGCCGGCCGCCTCGGGCGCGTCTCCCGCACTGGCCCTGCCCTGTCGGCGCCAGCACGTCAGTTTGCGGGTGTGCGCAGGCGCGGCGGGGGCGCTTGGTCCCGTTGGGTGGGCGGCGGAGCCCGGGAGCGCGCGAGCGAGACCATGGCGGGCAGCGGCGCGGGGGGCGGTGGTGTCGGCGAGACGAAGGTGATTTACCATCTGGATGAGGAAGAGACTCCCTACCTGGTGAAGATTCCTGTCCCGGCGGAGCGCATCACCCTCGGCGATTTCAAGAGCGTTTTGCAGCGGCCCGCCGGCGCTAAGTACTTTTTCAAGTCTATGGATCAGGATTTTGGGTAAGCGCGAGGCCTAGACTGGGAAGGACGATGGGTGTGCTAGGATGGATTGAGCGATGTCGAGGGGCACCGGTCTGCCTTGGAATTTTTCTGGCCTGTAGTGGAACATAGCATATTGTACTGTGCTAGGGTAGATCGCCCATCCCAAGACGGACAAGGTTATCGTTGGACACAGAGAGCTTTAGGAGAACGGCCTGGACTTGAGGAAACCAGAGGCAAGAAGATTAGGTTGGAATAATGGGGCGCTCTGGTTTGTTCGGCTCTCCTCTCCTCTTGATTTTAGCCAAAAGGCTAAGAGGCGATGCTTGAGAATATTCTAGGCTGTGCTGAGATTAGATTCATCGATCTTTTGGTAGTCTGGGTATGTTCTCAGATGGCTGCATGAGAATTATATAGAAATTCTGTAGGTTTTTTTTGTTTGTTTGTTTGTTTGCGTGTTTTGATTTGTTCTTTTGTTTTGAGACAGGGCCTTACTCTTTGTATCCCAGGCTGGCTCCGAACTCATGGAGTTCCTGCTTCAGCCTTTAGAGAGCTGGAATTAACAGGTGTGAGCCAATATGCTGGGCATGCAGTGTCAGTATGTAGACTGGGCTATAGTTAGTCAATTTAGGCTACCCTGGCTCATTAATTAGGTCCCATAGTATCATTATTTTGGGACAGTGTAATCTGTAATGATGCAGAGAGGTCTCTCTTGGTACTTAGATCTTAGGTTGTTTTGAAATAGGTTTTTTCTGGCAGAGTTCACACCATTCTGGACCCCACTGAGTTCTTCATGTTTTCTTTTTTTTTTTTTTCCCCTGAGGGGAAATTGGAGGTTTGTTTGTCTTCATTTTGAAGAGATTTTATGTGTATTGGTGTTTTGTATGCTAGCATATTTGTGCACAAGAAGCATGCAATGTCCACAGAAACCAGAAGATGGCATGGGATCTCTTGGAACTGGAGTTATATATCTTAGCCTCTACGTAGGTGCTGGGAATTGCACTCCAGTCCTTTGGAAGAGCAGCCAGGGCTCTTTACTGCTGAGCCAGGATTTCATTCTGTACTAAAGCTACCTAGGGCGCACAGTGTACAACAGGCTCACCTGGAGCTTGTAGCAGTCTTGCCTCTACATCTGCATCCTGAGTGCTGGGACTAGAGACGTGTGGCATTCTAGCTGGCCCAGACCTGGGTCCACTGTGTCACAAGACCGGGGGGTGGGGGTGGGGGGTGGGGGGGGGAAACGGACGGACCACGGGGGACGGGGACACACGACACAGGCTGGTGGTGCCAGTACAGCTGTTCTGGGGTATTGCAGTCAGTACTGGTGCGGACAGCTGCTTGTGGGGAGACAAGGGGGCTATGCTAGAATAGATTGGGTTGTTCTAGGGTAATTTGGAACATTCTGGGTGATCCTGGGCTGGACTGGGACTCTGAGTGAGGCAGAGTAAGGCAGCCTTTTGTTTTGTAGCTATGGGGACTGAGCCTTCTGTGTGTCCTCAAGCTCAGGGTTTGAAGGTAGAGTGCATTCGGTTCTGATCGCCTGAGTCAGTACAAGCAAGGAGTGCAAGGTACTGGGGAGCCGAAGGTTCTCTCCGGCCCGGATCTGGGAGCGCCTCCTTAGCTGTGAAGAATCCCTGTGGTTGGAGCACATTCCCCATCAGCTAGAACTGAACAAACGACTCTCGCCAAAGAGTGTTTGACACGGGCAAAGTGATACTATCCAGGGGGTTGTCTTGGATTTAAATCAAGGTTCTTTTTGCATTATAATTTTAGGCAATTTATTTAGCTTTTGTGCTTTGATTTCTTCATCTGTGGCATGATGATAATCATAGTGTAAAATGCTTAATTTAGGTGCACAGCACATGGTAAATTCTTGGTGGCTGGTAATTTTCATTTAGTATTGAGGCTAACTAGTTCATAGACTAGATTATAGTGATACAAAATTGCCTGCTTTGGAGGAGACTGGGCCATGCTGAGGTTGGGTTATGTTGGGAAGACTTGTATACGCTGAGCAGACCAGTGGTGACTGGGCTATGTCGTCTTGACAGCAAGTATATGAGGCATTTTCCCTCAAAATGAGACATACACCCAAGGCCCCCAGAGCATAGTTAATCAGCCAAGAAGTTTTATTATTTTTATTTTTTAGATTTTTTTTTTGTGCTTATTTTTGTGTATGTGAGTGTTTTGCCCACATGCATGTATGTATGTGTATCATGTGGGTGCCGGGTGCCTGTGAACGTTTGAAGAGACCATCAGATCCTGGAACTGGTTATGGATGGTTGTGAGCCATTGTGTGGGTGCTGGGAACTAGACCTGGGTCTTCTGAGGTAAGTGCTTTAACCACGGAGCCAACTCTCCAGCCCCGGACAAGAAGTTCTCATACTGGGGTTTATGTGTGTGAAAGAGAGCCTCACGGCTCATATTTGTTCACTGCGTGTCCGCTAATGCTTACTATTGTCAAGGCTGGTGCTGCACACCCAGGACACATGTGGAACAGGATAGGTGCTAATGATTTCTTGTGGGTATTGAGAAGGAACAAGTCTAGTCTGCTGCAGGAACCTGTGGGAGGCTGGCCACCAAGGCTGGGCTTCAGAATTTCTCAGGCTGAGCAGATTGCAGCCGGAAGCCTAGCTTCCCCTCTCCGTGGGAGCTTTCCTAGTGTGGAGTATTGTCGTTGCATTTAAGGGTGTTTTTATCCAGCCAAGGCCACACATCTCTGGATGTGAGTTAGGGAGAACTAAAAGGTGGTAGAACAGCAGAGAACCACACGAGGACCAGAGCCTTTTGTGGGACAGATGTGTAGACCAGGGAAAGGTTAGCAAGACTCCTAAAGCTGTTGGAGCAGTTGGAGAACTGTCCCGAGTGGGGTTCCAGGTTTGGATCAGCTGGGAAGAATCCTTTGGAGTGGCATTGTATCCCCCGGGTGGGAGAGGGTGAAATGAGGAGGGAGACTGGAGTTGTTTTCACATGTGAAAGTAAATAGTTTCATGGTAAAAACAGAAGAGCCAGGTGCCATGGTGATGCGTGTGGGCGTGGTGACATGCCTTTGGTCCCAGGAGGCAGAGGCAGGCAGATCTCTGTGAGTTCCAGGCCCATCTGGCCTACATAGTGAATTCTAGGCCATCCAGGAATACAAAATGAAACACCCTCCCCCTAAAAAAAAAAGGCAGAGGATTGGGTATGGAGTGATGGAGAGATGGCTTGGAGCTTATGAGTGCTTGATCCTCTTTCAGAGGACCTGAGTTCAGTTCCCAGCACCAAAATGGTAGCTCACCACTACCAGTAACTCCAGCTCCGGAGGGTCTAATGCCCTCTTCTGTCCTCTGTAAGCACCCTCCCATGTTCACACGTGTGACAGTCATACACACCTATGTACATTAAAAAAAATAAAGAGGACTAGCCAGGGCAGCAGTGAGTCAGCATGCTTGATGCTTGGATCGGATGGAGATTGGAAGAGACTTTGAATAAGATTTGGGGTCTCTGTGTCTTCCTTTTTTTTTTTTTTTTTTTTGGTTTTTCGAGACAGGGTTTCTTTGTGTAGCTTTGCGCCTTTCCTGGAACTCACTTGGTAGACCAGGCTGGCCTCGAACTCACAGAGATCCTCCTGGCTCTGTCTCCCGAGTGCTGGGATTAAAGGCGTGCGCCACCACCGCCCGGCGTGTCTTCCTTTTTTATATATATATAATTTATATTATTTGATGTGCATTGGTGTTTTGCCTGTGTGTGTATGTCTGTGTGAGGGTGTTGGGTCCCCTTGACAGTTGTGAGCTGCCATGTGGGTGCTGGGAATTGAACCCAGATCCTCTGAAAGAGCAGTCAGTGCTCTTAACCTCTGAGCCATCTCCCCAGCCCCTCTCTCTGGATTTTCAAGACAGGGTTTCTCTGTGTAGCCATGGCTGTCCTAGAACTCACTCTGTAGACCAGGCTGGCCTTGAACTCAGGTCTGCCTGCCTCTGCCTCCTGAGAGCTGCTGCTGCTGCTGCTTCTTCCTCCTCCTCTTCTATTATTATTATTATTATTATTATTATTATTATTATTATTATTTGGAGACAGCATCTCTCTACGTAACCGTGTCTGGCTTCAAGTTCACAGCGCTCCTCCGGCCTCTGCCTGCACGTGTTAGAACTGAAGGTGTGCACCGTCACCTCCCTCTTCTGACCGCTCTGCTCTCTCCACAGTGTGGTGAAGGAGGAGATCTCAGATGACAATGCCCGCCTGCCGTGCTTCAATGGAAGAGTTGTCTCCTGGGTAAGGCGTCATTACCCAGTGCTTCCAGCCTCTCCCCGCCCATTGGCGGCCCTGGCGGGAACAGTGGGCATTCCTTAGCTCTCTCTTTCTGCAGTCTCCCATGCGGGTTGCCTTTCTCTGGGCTGTTCTCCCAGGCTCTGAGACCCTGTTCTCTTTCTGCTCCTTTCCTTGGTCTTTTCTCGTAAGCCACTGCCCAGTGGGTCCATGTGTCCTTGCACTCTTTCAGCTGGTGTCGTCAGATAACCCCCAGCCTGAGATGGCTCCCCCAGCCCACGAGTCTCGGACAGAACTGGTCCCTCCACCTCCACCATTACCGCCCTTGCCACCGGAAAGGACCAGTGGCATTGGGGACTCAAGGCCTCCGTCCTTCCAGTGAGTCCTGTACAGTCTTGAATCCAGGGGAGGGGAGTGAAGAGGGAACCCAGTGCCAGCCCTTGGGGAGGGGAGCCCGAGGATTTGGTTGGTGCTCTGACCTACTGACATTGGTGGGAAACTCTCTACCTGTGCAGCCCTAATGTGTCCAGCAGCCATGAGAATCTAGAGCCCGAGACAGAAACCGAGTCTGTTGTATCACTACGACGAGAGCGACCTCGAAGGAGAGACAGCAGTGAGCATGGCGGTGAGGGGCAGGCCCTGGAGGCAGGGTGGACCGGGAGCGGGAGGGAGGCAAGCCTCAGCATGAAGAGCAGAAGAACGGGAGGCCTGGCTCCTGAGGTTCTCTTTATACACAGCTGGTGGCCACAGGCCCAGTGGTCCCTCAAGGCTGGAGCGCCACCTGGCTGGGTATGAGAGTTCCTCCACCCTCATGACCAGTGAGCTGGAGAGTACCAGCCTGGGCGATTCGGATGAGGAGGACGCCATGAGTAGGTATGGTGCCCGCATCTCTCCCCAGGGCTCCCCCCCCCCCAGTCAGTCTTGTTGCGCTTGCCTCCTGACCACTTGTACCTCCAACGCCCCGCTTCTCATTGCTGTCAGGTTCAGCAGCTCCACCGAGCAGAGCAGCGCCTCCCGCCTCCTCAAGCGCCACCGAAGGCGGAGGAAGCAGCGGCCGCCGCGCATGGAGAGGGTGAGGTTCTTTGGGTGAAGTGGGCCCTAGTGACCCAGAGGCTGGGGCTTGTCTCCGTGTTGTTGAAGAGCGGGCCCCCCCTTCCTGTCTCCCCGCCACAGACCTCCTCCTTCAGCAGTGTCACCGATTCCACGATGTCCCTCAACATCATCACGGTCACACTCAACATGGGTATGGAAGGTCCTTACGAGAGACGGGAGGAGAGGGTCTCCGGGGCTTCTGGGGCCTAGTCCCTCATGCGGACTCTCCACAGAGAAGTACAACTTCCTGGGCATCTCCATTGTGGGCCAGAGTAACGAGCGGGGTGACGGAGGCATCTACATCGGCTCCATCATGAAGGGGGGTGCCGTGGCTGCTGACGGACGCATCGAGCCTGGCGACATGCTGTTGCAGGTGGGCTGACAGGCTGGCTGCTGGCGTGGGCAGCGGCTCTCAAGCTCTCACACTGCCTCTGACCACGCCGCCTCCCTTCCAGGTGAACGATATGAACTTTGAGAACATGAGCAACGATGATGCTGTACGGGTGCTGAGAGACATCGTGCACAAGCCAGGGTGAGCCTCTGCTGGGTGCTGGTCCTCAGGCCTCTGGTTTTTAGTCCTTTTGTCTTCGTTTTGCAATTTAAGAAAGAGAAGTGAGCCGGGCATGGTGGCGCACACCTTCAGTCATAGCACTAGGGAGGCAGAGCCAGGTGCCTCTGGGATTGTGAAGCCAGTCTGGCCTACTTAGTGAGTTGCAGGCCAGCCAGGTCTCCAAAACAAAACAAAATAACCAATCTAAGTGGCTGTACATGTCACTCCAGCCTAAATCATGAAACCAGGGTGGTGAAGGCCTCAGAGTGCCCCCCGCTGTGCGCCCCTTCCCACTCCCCCCCCCCCCCCCACTGGTGGTAATTACTCTTGACTTCTCTGGTCAAGAAAACCTTGATGGATTTTCCACCCGTGCCTGAACCCTGGACCAGGACGGTTCAGTGTTGGCTGTTTCACGCTTCCTGTGAATTGTGCAGCGTGCATTCCTTGTTTCCCTCAGCAGTGGGTTTTGAACTTAGCCGTGTTGGTGAGTCACCCACATTGTGAAACCCTCCACTCTCGCTTTCTCGAGCCTGGGTAGGCATGTGCTCCTTCTTCCCCGTCTTCATGTCCTTGATCCTCCCTGCAGCGGGCCTTGGTCCTCCCGAGGACCCCTGCTTGCTTGACTGGCCTTCTCTCCACAGCCCCATCGTGCTGACCGTGGCCAAGTGTTGGGATCCTTCTCCCCAGGCCTACTTCACCCTCCCCCGAAGTGAGTGATGCTCGGGCCGGGTCTGAGTTAAGAGACCGGGGGAGCTTGGGCACGGTGACTTAAGCTTGCAATCTTGGCACCTGGGAGGCTAAGACAGGAGGCTCTCCCGGAGTTTGAGGCCAGCCTGGGCTAGAGTGAAACCCTGCCTCAAACAAACAAGAGCAACAGAGATTGGACGAGCCAGAAGATGAGGCTGGGCTTCTGGTTGTAGGGAATGGGTTCAAGAAGGTCAGGGGAGGGCGGAACAGGATTTTTAATCCTGGAGCAGACAGGGCTAGTTTCCTAGGGTTGAGCAGTGGTGATCTTGGTGATTATTGTATTTTTGTACCAGATGAGCCCATCCAGCCAATCGACCCTGCTGCCTGGGTGTCGCATTCTGCTGCGCTGACTGGCACCTTCCCCGCGTACCCAGGCTCTTCATCCATGAGCACTATTACATCCGGCTCCTCCCTGCCTGATGGTGAGTCTCGAGCCCCTCCCCACCTCCCTTTGAGTGGACCTTTCTTCAGTTCTCGGTTGTCTCCTCTGTCAGGCTGTGAAAGCCGGGGTCTCTCCATCCACATGGACATGGCCTCTGTGACCAAGGCCATGGCAGCCCCGGAGTCTGGGCTAGAAGTCCGGGACCGCATGTGGCTGAAGATCACCATCCCAAATGCCTTTCTAGGTATTGCCAGGCCCTGGGCAAGGTGGCGTGGGAAGGGGAGGAGGAGACCAAGGCTGGGGCAGCGCAAGGCCGAGGGTAGGAGTTTGGAGGAGAGTCTGACTTTCCTGCCGCGGTTGCTCTCAGGCTCCGACGTGGTAGACTGGCTGTACCATCACGTAGAAGGTTTTCCCGAGCGCCGGGAGGCCCGCAAGTACGCCAGCGGGCTGTTGAAGGCAGGACTCATCCGCCACACTGTCAACAAGATTACCTTTTCTGAGCAGTGCTATTACGTCTTCGGGGACCTCAGTGGTGGCTGTGAAAGTTGTAAGTCACCTGCCCTGGTGTGGGAGAACAGGTTGTCCTATCTTGTTCTGCTGTCCAGCCCTAGACCTGGCCCAGAAACTGCAGCCAGGGCCACCAGGGTAGTCAGGTCCCACACTTGGCCTCGCGGGGGCCAGCCATGGGGGCTGATGCGTGCCGTGTGCTGCTGAGTAAGCTGGTACCAGTTGCAGAGCTGTAGTCCGAGGGAGAGACTCATGTGTCCCGCAAGAGCATGCTGGACGGGTGACGGCGGCCCTGGTTGTCTGCCCCAGTGGCAGAGTTCTCTGTTCCAGGCCTTCATGATCCCTTCGTGGGTGGCCCTGGGGAAATGGTTCCTGGTTCCCCTGTCCCCAGGAGTCCTGGCCCTTACGGCAGGGACATCTCTCCCTGTCCTGCAGACCTGGTCAGCCTGTCCCTGAACGACAACGACGGCTCCAGCGGGGCCTCCGACCAGGACACCCTGGCCCCCCTCCCCGGGGCCGCCCCCTGGCCCCTGCTGCCCGCCTTCTCCTACCAGTACCCAGCCCCACACCCCTACAGCCCACAGCCGCCGCCCTACCACGAGCTTTCATCGTACACTTACGGTGGAGGCAGTGCCAGCAGCCAGCACAGTGAAGGTGAGTCCCCCGCACACCCCGTACCTCCAGGGCAGAGGCCATAGTGGAGGGACTGGGGCGGAGAGGCAAGAGCAGGGGCTGGGGGTCCGAGGCCTCTGGGCTGAGCTTCACTTACCCCGTCCCCCTCCCCCCAACAGGGAGCCGGAGCAGTGGGTCCACAAGAAGTGATGGGGGGGCCGGGCGCACAGGGAGGCCTGAGGAACGGGCCCCTGAGTCCAAGTCTGGCAGTGGCAGTGAGTCCGAGCTTTCCAGCCGAGGAGGCAGCCTTCGGCGGGGTGGGGAACCTGGTGGGACTGGTGATGGGGGCCCCCCTCCGTCCAGGGGCTCGACAGGCGGTACTCCTAATCTCCGAGCTCTCCCAGGGCTCCATCCCTATGGCCCGCCCCCAGGCATGGCTCTCCCCTATAACCCCATGATGGTAGTCATGATGCCTCCCCCCCCACCCCCTGTCTCCGCTGCAGTGCAGCCCCCTGGTGCTCCTCCAGTCAGAGACCTGGGCTCTGTGCCCCCAGAGCTGACGGCTAGCCGTCAGAGCTTCCACATGGCCATGGGCAACCCCAGTGAATTTTTTGTAGATGTTATGTAGGGCCCACCTTGAGGCCACATTGGTCCGTGCCCTGGGCCTGTCAAGTTTCAGCTCGGTGCTCCTCATAGTGCCGGGGTCATCCTGGTGCTCGGTACCCACCACACGGTTGTCGCCACTGTGAGTCTCTCCAGCAGTGCCTGGTCCCCCCTTCCTCCGGGGTAGTCGGGGACCTTTGGTTATTTTTAGCTTTATTTTTTATAAGCCTTTTTGGGGATTAAAATAGACTTTCTTATATTTTGGGGAGTATTTTTGTAATAGACTTTTTCTCTTTTATATGAAGAATCCCTTCATATAAAATATCCTGGGTCCCTTCTAACCCCAGAATATGACCACCACCTCCAATTGCCTAGTTAGTTGTCACTTGGAGGGGGGTGGTGGTTACTGGTACCCTGGGAAGAGGAGGGGGGCACTGGGTACCCTAGACAGCAGTCCACGGAAGCTGGTGTGTACTTGGGGACTGTGTAGCCGCCTTTGTTCCTCTATTTATTTTAGTCACTTGTATAAAACACTAAATAAAGCAATAGAGGCCAATCCCCCAAGCCTCTGGCTCCTTTCTTTGGGAGGCAGGCAGTGGAGAAGAGGGATGAGGGAGACACAGAGGGACAGTGAGGGACAGAGCAGAGGGTGGCCTGTCAGAAAGTCGGGAGGGAAGCAGGAAGCTGTGGAGAGGACGGCGGAGAGGCCCAGCAGAGGGTGGTTGTTAGAAAGTTTATTGTTCGTAAGGCAGTAAGTGCTCCAGAGGACAACAGGAGAAACCGGGGCCCCATAAAAGGGACCTGGGTTTTGGCATAAGAGAAGGCACGTAACAATGTTGGGCCTGACTGGGAGTACTCAGATTCCAAGGGGGTTCCTGGTGACCACGCCCCCACTCTCCACCATGGCCTTGGAGATGCTTTTGAAGTTACGGAAGAGCTGAGGCTGGTGAGGGTTGGATTGCAGGTTAACCATGTTTTCTCGGATGCGTGCTGCAGCCTGGGGAGAGGGAAGGAGAGGGTCGGCCTGTGTCTCCATCATCCCCTGTCCTGGGGAGCTCCAAGGCTCACCTCAATACACCAACTATCACAGAGCATTTTCTCATGCTGTGCTTCGGGGTGGCCCTCACTCAGGGATCTTGAGGCTCTGTAAGGCAGCAGGAGGTTAAGATGATTGTGAGCTGTGGCGCTGGCCCGGCTACTCTGGTTCGAACCTCCCAAGCGTCCCACTCTGCCTTCTTACCTGGAGAGAACCACCACCATGGCATAGAGGTCAATGGCTCCATCTGCCAGCCGGTGGAGCAGGAACTGTTCATCTGTCAGGTAGATGAGGGCGGGGGTGTTAGTCTGAGGGAGGCGGGGAAGGGGGGTGTTACTCTGAGGGGGGGGCGGGAGGGGGTGTGTGTGGCAGGAGGTAGGGGGGTTGCAGCGCTCACTCACTGACAATCCCTTTCTTGTGCTTTATCAGCTTGGCCTCCACCACAGTGGCAAACTGCTCCAGAGCCTGTACCATCTGAAGAGACAAGAGTCACGGCGCAGAAGAAGCGGGCAGCCCTTGCTACAGGCTCTGTCCTAAGGACTACTCACCAGTTCACCGCTGCGACTTAACTCTGGGTGAACAACTCCCGAGAGACTCAAACCACTGCCCATCCCTGTCCGCCTGGAAAACAGCGCAGGAGTGAGTGGCTGGGTAGCTGCTGCACACCACCTTGTCTTTCCCTGACCTGTCTGTCCCTGGCTTACCGCCTCAGCTGCTTGCCTGCTTCTCCTATCAGGAGGCCCACGTTCGCAAGAGGATTCTTCAGGGCATTGCCAAGCCCAGTGAGTTCCTTTCCTTTGTCCTGTGGGGGAGGAGGGTCCAACAGTCAGGACTCGGTGTCCTTCACAGTTCCCCCCCCCCCTCCTTCCTCTTACCATACAGCCCTGCAGAGCCACAAACAGTCGAAGAATGTCATTTGTCCCTTCAAAGATCCGGAAGATTCGAATATCTCGGAGCACACGTTCTACTCCGGGTTCCTAGAGCAGGGGAAGACACATAAACTTCTGTTGCAAGGTGCCTGTCCACGCCGTAGGATGCCCGCCCATGCTGAGGGACACTCCATACCTTCATGAAGCCCATGCCCCCCATTATTTGGATGCACTCATCTGTCACTCTCCAGGCTGCTTCCTAAGGACAGACCCAGAGGAGTTTGGTTGGGGAGCTGAGTTCCGGAACTGAACTCTGCCCTTCCGTCATGCCTGGGTCCTCACCGAGCCAAAGATTTTGCTGATGGCGGCCTCTATCTGGAAGTCTGTGAATCCCTGGTCCATGTTGGCACTCAGCATGTAAGCCATGGACTGAGGGGGCATAGTTGGGACGTGGAAAGAAAACAGGAAGAAGCTGTGTGAGACAGGGTGGTGGTTCACACTCCAGTCTGCAAGACCGGCTCTGCTCTACTCCCCACAGCCCTTGCATTCACTTTATCTTACTCCCTGGCCAGGTCAGACAAGTCCAGTATGTGTTCCTCTGATTTGGTAAGCCAGGCTCCCAGGCCTCAGACTTGAAGGAGGGAGGGGGTTAGAATCAGTATTTGGTGTAGCTGGGGAGCACTCAGAACATCACTCCTTCAGAAGCTGAACTGACTATGCCTCCTCGCATCCCCTAGGGCATTGGTGTAAAGCTGGAGACCCACTGCCCCAGGTGCTGCTGGGGGTTGTAGTCTGACCCAACTGTGAAGAAAGCCTTAGGGCTCCAGGGGGAGAGGCACAGGAAGCCCTTACCTCAGTCACATACTGCAGAATTGCCATCCGAGCCAGCTTTTCCTGAATCATCCCAAAATTATGAATTTTGTCCCCAAACTGGGTACGGTTAGTAGCATGATCAACCTGAAAGGCACATATATCCCGCTGGTGATTCTGCAGTCTCCACCGGGGTGGGGACTGGAGACCTGACCCAGAAGATCTGGAAGTGTGCGTGCGTGTGCGCGTGCGCGCGTGTGTGTTGCTCTGATGGAGAGGGTCCCCTCAGGGTAGTTGGGGCACGTGCAGAGTGATTTCTTCAGGCTAGCTAGGGACTGGGGCAGGACTCACCGCCTTGGCAATAATGGCTTTCATGGTGCCCGCTAGGGTTGCAGACATCCCAAATCTCCCATTGTTGAGGATGTTGACGGCAACCTTGAAGCCGCTTCCCACCTCTCCTAGCACGTTCTCTGACGGCACCTGAACGCCATCAAAATACACTTCTGCTGTGTTAGATGCTTTGATACCCATCTTCTTTTCAGGGAGCCCACTGAAAAGGCAGGGCAGGAAAGAGGAGGTGTGAATAGGATGCCGGGGAGGAAAATGGCCTTTCTGGTCCTTATGATCAGGGAGGAACTCCCCAGACTTAGAGAGGGTACGGGCACTGCACGTGTGCCCTAGGGCTGCGGAGGTCCGGCTCTGTCCTGTTACCCGAGTTCTCCCAAGGAAACAAACTGCCCACTTCCTCTGTCTCTTGTGCATGCCCCGGTGTGACCTGTAACATCTGGTTTTGAGAGCCCAGTGCCTCCCCCTTCCTTGATTCTACCTTGTCTTCTCCATGCTCACTCACTGGGTAACACCTCCAAAGCTCCTTTCCACTACAAAAGCTGTGATCTTCTCTTTCACGGCCCCCGTGGCTGCATCTTTAATTGGTGTCTTGGCAAAGACAGTGAAAATATCTGCGATGCCCCCATTACTGTGGAAGAATGAGGCATTGGTAAGTGGTGTGGTTCATAGCAGTGAGGTCGGGAGATTGAGCTAAGGGAAGAAGAGAAATGGAAGATTGCCTGATCCAAATCTTGGTTCCATTGAGAGTATAATATTTTCCGCAGGGGCTGGGTACAGCTGAGCATCGGATGGAGGCTGCATCCGACCCACTCGAGGGCTCTGTCAGGCAGAAAGCCGCCACAGCCTGCCCTGTTGGGGAGAGAACCGCTTTACCTGGGATGGCCATCAAAGTTGTGCCCCTCCCATACTACTCCCAAGCAGATCCTTGTAACAATTGCACACTCCTTACCCCTAGGTCCCTTAAGGTTGCCTTACCAGATGCCACTTTGGGGAGGTATTTTTCTTTCTGGGCCTTTGTTCCATAGAGCAGGATGCCTTTGAAGCCGATGCTCTGATGAGCTCCCAGGGTGACACTAACACCAAGGTCGTGCATGCCCACGATCTCTGCCAGGCGAGCGTACTAGGGGGAAGAAGGCATCTGGGGATGTAACGGGCTGCCCTGAGAGAGAGTGGGCCATCTCTCCTGTGAGCATGTGAAAGGAAAGAGGGATCATAAAAAGGCCTGGGAGGACTGGTGATGTAGCTCAGTGGTAGAGTGCTTGTCTAAGCACGCACGAGGCCCTGGAACGCTTCCTTAAGAAAACAAGCAGGGACATCAAAGGTCCTAGACCTTTGTTTTTTGTGACAGTCTCACCGTGTAGCCCTGGCTAGCCTGGACCATGATAAGTAGACCAGTCTGGCCTCAGACTCTTGAGGTCTGCTTGCCTCTACCCCCGGATGTGCTGGGATTAAAGGCATGCACTGCCATGCCCAGCTCTCCCTGGTCCTGACGTGAATATTGCTTACAACCCTGTGGCCGCAGGTCCCTAAAGACTTGGGTTTCGGGCTTAGGTCCTTGGTCCTAGTGGGCTGCACATGGCTCATGTTTTCAGGGGAAGATGCAGACACAGGTGAGAAATAGAGCAGGCAGACAGTGTCCCTGGCTGCTTGGCCCCAGTGATGAGGAAGCTGGAGCAATGTGGGTATTAGCAAGTTAACCAGGGGAATCCTCTTACCTGGGTATTGCAGAGGCCCAAACCGCCCAGCTCACTGGGTACTTGCAGACCAAATGCCCCCAGTTCCTTGAGGCCCTGCATGGTCTTCTCCTCCACCTGCTCTAAGGAGTCATTCTTGGCAGGATCATTCACTTCCTGGGCAAGGAATAGGACCTCATATTCAGAGGCTCCTTTAAGCTTAACATTTGCTACCCCAAGAGGTGCTGTACCCCAGCCACGTACCTCAAAGAACCGGGACACTGGCCCCACCAGCTCTTTGAGAAATTGTGTCTGGTCCTGACTAAGCACTGCAGGATGGGAAGGAGAACAGGCCAGTCAGGTGGGGAGGCTGCCCCGCCCACACTGCCACTCACTACCCCCTTGCTTACCAGATGGGTATGGGAACACCTGATCCGTGGTGAGCTGGCCTTTGAATATCCCCACGGCAAAGGACTTAGATTCCTGGGCAGGGAAGAGAAGTTTCAGGGCGCTGGTTGGGTGCGTCTACTGGCTAGAAGGGTCAATCCAATTTCCGGGTCACTTACCGCCTTGGCTGGTTTCTCTCTGGTAGACACATCGGAGAGGGTGTCTGGCTTGTCCAGAACCGCCTGGGGAAAGGGGACGAGCAATTAAATAGGCTCGCGATGGGTCTTAGGGTGTGCCAGGGAGAACCCCGGGAAGCGCTGGCTCTGGCAACTGTGCATCAGTGTCTTTTTCCCCTACTTTCTCACTAGGGCACCCTGGCTTGCCCTTTCCCCTAGTTTCGGTGCCAGGGCTGTCACCGGGTGACCGGGAGGAA